TTAGGTGTTCCTTAGGTTTTCTTTGCTTTTCCTTAAGTTGTCTTTGCTTTTCCTTAGGTTTTCCTTGCTTTTCCTTAGGTTGTCCTTGCATGTCCTTAGGTTTTCCGTGCTTTTCTTTAGCTTTTCCATGCTTTTCCATAGGTTTTCTTTGGTTTTCTTTAGCTTTTTCCATGCTTTTCCTTAGGTTGTCCTTAGGTGTTCCTTGCTTTTCCTTGGGTTTTCCTTGTTTTTCCTTGGGTTTTCTTTGCTTTTCCTTAGGTTTTCTTTGCTTTCCCTTAGTTTTTCCATGCTTTTCCTTAGGTTTTCCTTAGGTTTTCTTTGCTTTTCCTTCGCGCCCGCAATGTGTAAATATAGGGTTGCGGGTTCGGCGCCATCGACGTCAGGGGGGCGTGGCGGGCGGAAGCCGGCGGAGGGCGCAGTGCGCTGCGCGGGCGGAAGCTGGCGGAAGTAGCGGGGGGCCAACGGGCAGCTTCGGGGAAATGGGGAAGTCAGAGCCCCTGCCGCCTGCTGGCTGGTTCCAGCAGGCGGCAGGCGGTGTGGACGGCTTGAGCTCCTCAGTTGCCCTTTGGCACCCCGCCTCTGCGGCAGCCGCGGATTCCCTCTGCCCCCCTTCCGGCAGCCGCGGATTCCCTCTGCCCCCCTTCCAGGGCACCAACACTGCGCGTATATGCGATCATTCCCCAGACAGTGCTTGCCACGACCCCCTTTGGTCTAATTTCCCACCTGTCTATTGCGTCTACCTTTTCCCTGTCGCCCTCCCGCACACGCCAGTAATGTTTCAAAATAAGGTTTGGGGTTCACAGAACTTGACAGACGTGCTTGGGGATCGCAGAAAAAAATCTTGGAGCCATCTTGGGCCAAAAAGGACGCTCTGACGCCTCGCGACCGGCCCCCATCCAGGTCCAGGGGATGGGGGTAGGGGGAAGGGGTAGAGCCCTCCCCGAAGGGGAAGAAGGGGGTTGGAAGAAGGGAAGATGGTGGGAGCTAAACCACTCACGCCTTAAAGGGCTGGTGGGATTCAGTCAAGTTGACGAAGGCCCAGTTACGACGACAACGCCTGCCGCTCGATACTTCTCATGCGTTACTCGGAGACGCCCTCCGTAGCCATTTGGGCTCAAGCCGTTTTGGCTCAAGCGTGGCTCAATCCCGTTTGGTGGGCGATTCGTGCCTCGGCTGGCGCTGCGGGGCAGCATCGCGATGACGGCTCCCTCGTGGAAGGCGTTCCGTGATGATCCATCGGCCATCGATGACAGCAGTGACAGCCAGAGCCAGTCTAGCGACGATTCCGATGGCAAAGGTGCAGCTGCGTCTTGCACCACAGCTTGGGCACGCCAGTGATCAGGCATCGCCCGGGCGTGGACGGATTGCGAGCTATAGCGGTGATCGGCGTCGTTATGTACCATTTGAACGAGCGGTTGTTGCCTGGTGGTTTTACAGGGGTCGATGTGTTCTTCGTGATCTCTGGATACGTCGTCACAGGCTCTTTGCTCGGACATCACAGCAGCAGTGCCGCCGATCTTCTTTGTGGCTTCTATGCGAGGCGGATCAAGAGGTTGACCCCGGCATTGGTGGTTGTTGTCGGAGTCTGCGGGCTCGTTCTGGCAATTGTTTACGCTTCGCGAACCCCCGCCAGCCCATTCAGAAGCCCTTCCCATGAGAGCTGACGGGAAATGGAAAGAAGAGACACATATAGTGAGACAGAGCGGGCAAGGAGAGGAGGGGGAGGAGGGTGTCGAGCCATCTGGCTATCTTGAAGCACCGGAGGCCTTCCTGGAGCTATGGGGCACTTTGTGGGGTCTCAGGGCCCTCTTGGGCTTCTTTTGGGGCATCTTGGGGCCCTATTGGGGATCTTTGGGGGGTCTTGGGGTCCTCTTGGGGCTCTTTTGGGGCATCTTGGGGCCCTCTTGGGGCTCTTGGGGGGTCCTGGGGTCCTCTTGGGGCTCTTTTGGGGCATCTTGGGACCCTGTTGGGGCTCTTTGGGGGGTCTTGGGGCCCTCTTGGGGCTGTTTTGGGACGTCATGGGGCGCTCTTGGGGCCCTCTTGGGGCCCTCTTGGGGCTATCTTGGGGGCCCCTTGGGAGCCCTGGAGGGCCTCTTGGGGCCATCTTGGAGGCTATCGATCAAAAGACGGGGTTCCTCTATGTTAGCCCCCCCTCCTGGGCCATCAAAATGGCCTCTTGGGGCGCTCTTGGGGCCCTCTTGGGGCGATCTTGGGCGCTCTTGGGGCCGTCTTGGGGGCCTCTTGGGCCCCTCTTGGGCTCTCTTGGGCCATCTTGGGGCCATCTTGAGGCCTCAAAAGCGTATCGGAGGCGAAAGGGCGAGAAGGCCAAAATCATTGATTTTCTTTAGTTTTTTGAAAGATTTTGACTTCTCGGGGAGGTCCTGAGAGGTCTCCAAAAGCACCTGGGACCGTCTTGTGGCCCTCTTGGGGCCTCTTGGACGCATGCTGTTAGCTATCTT